TGGCGCTAGGCTTACCGCACCGTGACGTCACTGCTGGAAGATGGCAGGACTGCTGACCAGACTTTTCCTTTTTAATGTTTGTAGAAAGTGTCTGTTCTGCCGCCACAAACTTCTCTGCATTACACGAAACCCTTTTTCCACATCTTAAAACTATTGCCTTCCCTTTCCTGGTGTAATAACACTGCAATGACTTTTTGATAACCTCTGCAAGAATCCTGTACCCTAAGAGCGTTCATCTATTTCAGTTACCTCACCTCTTTTAAGATGGGGCCACTTTTGTTGCAGAAAAGTGATGAAAACAATCATATCAAACATCACAGGCAATTGTTTCAGGAAGTAAGCCTTTTTAACAAGATGCTAAGCATTAGCTATCACCAGCAAACTTTTTTATGTAAAAAAAACTGACGTTTTGTGGTCATTTTCTTATCACGGAATATTTGTGTTATGAAAATGCTGGATAACTTTTAATCTGTGGACCCTTATGAATGAATGGAGTATAAACAATTGAAGATTGAATTTATATAACGGCTTCTGGATGCCTTCAAAGGTATGATTGTTGCAGCTGCTTTTTCATATTTACGTTGTACCATACTCCATACCTGTGCTCACTGTGTCTATAAAACGAACTTGGCGATTGAATTGTGGAGAATCTTCGCTTTCTAACAATGTCTAACATATCTATATTGGTAAAAGATTAACCCGTGTTATTTTCCAGCATACTGCTGTGTTTGATGTAAATATAGAAAAAGGATGAGCCAGCGAACCAGTGGCATTTAAGATGTCTTCTTTATTTTATACCATCCACTATATATATCTGGATACACTCTATATAATTCATGTACCTTTTCCTCCTTTGTGCACCTTCTGTTGTTTATAACCACTGATGTAACAAGTGAATTTCTCCACTGTTTTTTATTTTATTTTTTGCAACACTAGTAGCTGTTTTTTTTTGACAGTAGGCTGACAGGAAAGGGGGTCTGAGAGAGGGGGAAAAGGACCACAGGTCAGACCCGAATCTGGCTCAGCCGTGTCGAGGACCAAGGCATCTGTGCATGAGTCATGCGCGCTAAACACTGCGCCACAGAAGCACATCAAATATCTCCATTGTGAGATCAGTACCGTTCTATCTAATCTAATCTAATCTAATCTTCCATCAGTTAGGTGTGAGTCTGTGTTGATCAGAGTAATTGTAACAATACTGTATGCAGCCAGTGTTAATTTTGTCAAACAGGACGATGACGAAAACATTTCGTCCCTTTTTCCAGTGACGATGATGAGACGATGCCGCACAAACAGTGTTTCCAGGAAATAAAAATATGACGAAAATAAAAAATAATTTCCGTTAACGAGACTAAGACCAGACGAAATTTACGGAAAATGGACGAATGGACGTTAAAAAAAGTAATTGTTTATGATTAATTTGTAATTGTTAATATAAGTGTTTCTTGAGTTTCATAGAAGATTACGCTTTGTTGCCCTGTTTGTTCCTACATGGCGCCTGTCCCACAGTGCTTTGCACCGCTCAGTCAGTAGTAGCAGAGGGCTTATACTACAAGTTTAACTTCGCAGTCATTGCATGGGGCTCAGATACCTGTGTACAGTTTGTTGTACCAAAGAGTCACCAAAGAGTCTGCGGCTTCAAAATGGCAGGGAAGAATACAAAGAATCTCAAACAACATCTGAGGTGCCAAAATGCTGCCATATGATAGAAGGAAAGGAACGGTTGGGCCTGGAGTAGTAGGAACGTGTGTGTGTGTGTGTGTGTGTGTGTGTGTGTGTGTGTGTGCGCATGCATGTGGATGCGTGTGTGTGTGTGCTTTCCTGTATCTGTCTGTCTCTCTGTCATA